GATGCCCTCACGCGCTTGCCAGAGGCATGATCCCTATCAAATAATACCATGCGGGGCACCGTCATCGTCATTATTGCCGCCTGGAGCGTCGTGATCATTCTCATTGTCGTTTGTCCACGCCGTCGTCCGCGCTGTCTCCCGCAAGATGGACTTTGCCCGCGCGACGAGCGTCCCCGCGCCAATGAACACGATGATATTATTGGAGGAGCTCCATTCCGCAACTGCACACGCGACCTCATGAGTTATGCCAACCACCTCATCGTCGTTTGTCGATGCTGTCGTCCGCGCTGTTTTCCACAAGATGGATTTTGCCCGCGCCACAAGGGTCCGCGTGCCAGTGAGCTTGATGATTTGCGGACAAGCTCCACGCTGCAATTGCAGTCGCGGCCTTACGAGTTTTGCCGACCAAGATACGGGTGGGAGGGTAGGATGTTTGCACAAGCGTGGGAGGTGGTCACGGGCGGTGCAGTCAATTCTCCTTTCAAGAAAAAATATGGGTTCTACCACACTCCCCCCCCCGGACTCAACCATCCACTTTTTCGTATCGCAAATTACATTCGATTCTGCCCCATCGTACATCCTAACCATGAATTTATACGATCCCCGGGTACGGTATCGCCCCCCCCCCCGCCATCCTTTGCAAACAAATACTATGCGCGCACATTCTTTTATTTAAAAATCATAAGTTTTCACGAGCCCCTTGTAAAGAATGGGACGAAGTGCACACGCGCGCGTCGTCGCGCGAGCATGCCGAAATCCTTCGAAAACCTTCGGTTTCGGAAGGATTTCAAGATCGAGTTTACCCCAAAAAAACACAAGGGTTCACAATACGGCTTTTCAAAAAAAACTGTCGCGCGCGCTCTTGCGAAACCTTGAGGAAACCAGCGGTTTCTTCAAGATTTTCAGACAATACAACAAATTCGCGAGCGCGCATGTCGAAATCGTTCGAACGCCCTTTGCGCGCGTGCCGTCGCGAGAATCCCCAGCAACAGTTTTGACGAAATGCACGCGCGCGCGTCGTCGCGCACGCATGCCGAAATCCGTCAAAAACCTTCGGTTCCGGAAGGCTTCCAAAATCGAGCTCCCAACAAACATGCAAACATAAAGGGTTTCGCAACATGGATGTTCAACAAAAGCGCGCGCGCTCTCGCGACATCTTAAGAAAACCATAAGTTGTTCAACATTGTCATAAAATTACACCAAACGGGCCTCGCGCGCGCGCATGTCGAAATCGTTCGAACGCCCTTTGCGCGCGTGCTGGGGTGGCACGATCCGTGTCGAATAATACCATGCGAACCACTCTCGTGCGTCTGCCGCGCGCATGTCGAATTCTTCCCGAAACCTTCATCACCGACGCGAAGACACCGTCATCGTCGTCGGCGTGATCGGCATCGGCGCCGTCACTGGCTGCCCAGTCGTCGCTGTCAGCATCGTCACCAGCATCGCTACTATCATCATTGTGTCTACCGTTGTCGACGTTGCCATGATACCGCGCCCACCCAAGTCGCCGAGTCGCATTGAAGTGCCCGCTGGGATATGCCGAGCGGTCAGCGCCACCGCGGCTGCGTCGGTCGCTCCAAACCAGCTGGCCGCTGCGCGCGCGTGCAAGGGTTGGCGCGGCCGCAGAGATGCACCAGCCAACGCCAAGCATGCATCGCAATCGTCGCCGCGTGGGTTTTGCAAAACAAGTTACGGGTGGGTGGGTGGGATGTTTGCAAGAGCATGGGATGTGTAAACTCGCTTGTTGAAGCCATTTTTCCAAAATTATATAAGTTCTAACACCCTCCCCCCCAGACTTACCGATCCACTTTTTCGTGTTGCAATTTACAGATGAGTCTACCCCATCGTCCATCCCAAATATGAGTTTGAACTATCCCAAGGGAACCGGTATCGCCCCCCCCCCCCGCCATCCTTTGGACAAAATATTATGCGCGCGCAATCGTTTATCAAAAATCATAAGTTTCCAAGAATGCTTCGCAGAAAACGGGACGAAGTGCACACGCGCGCGACGACGCGCGCGCATGCCGAAGATCTTTCAAAATCCTTCGGTTTCGGAAGGATGTCAAAATCGAGTTTCCACAAAACCAACAAAAACACGGGGTTTCGCAACACGGCTTTTCTAAAAAAAAATCCGCGCGCGTTCTTGCGAAATTTTGTAGCAAAACAAAAAACAATAGGTTTTCAAAACGACTACCAATTGGGGTTCGCGCGCGCGCATGTCGAAATCGTTCGAACGCCCTTGCGCGCGTGCCGTCGCAAGAATCTTCTGCAAAGAATGCGACGAACTGTGCGCGCGCGTTGTCGTGCGCGCATGCCGAAATGCTTCAAAGACCGTCGGTTTCGGAAGGATGTCAAAATCGACTGTCCAAAAAACATACGAAAACACAAGGCTTCGCAACACGAATTTTCAACAAAAGAGTGCGCGCGCACTCTTGCGTCGTCGTCGTCGTCGCCGTCCTCCCTCCTCGTTCGTCGTCGTCGTCGCCGTCGTCGTCCTATGTCTTTCCTCGTCGCCGCCGTCGTCGTCGTCGTTTCCCCTCCTCCCTCGTCGTCGTCGTCGTCGGCGTCGCCGTCCTCCCTCCTTCTTCGTCGTTCGCGTCGTCGCCGTCCTCCCTCCTCCCTCGTCGTTGTCGTCGTTGTCGCCGTCGTCGTCCTCCCTCCTCCCTCGTCGTCGTCGTCGTCTTCGTTGGCGACGTCGTCGTCGTCTTCGTTGGCGACGTCGTCGTCGTCTTCGTCGTCGTTGTCGGCGTCGTCGTCGTCGGCGGCGTCGTCATCGTCGGCGTTGTCATCGTCGTCGTCGTCGGCGTCGGCGTCGTCGTCGTCGTCGGTGTCGTCGTCGTTGTCGTCGTCGTCGATGTCGTTGGAGACGTCGTCGGTGTCGTCGTAGTCGGCGTCGGCGTCGTCGTTGTCGCTGTTTTCGTCGGCGTCGGTGTCGCTGCCAAGTGCCATGTGGTACCTACCGTCACGGTTTAAAGAGCTCTTGGGACCAAGTTGCGGGTGTAAGGTTGGGATGTTTGCACGAGCAGTGGAGAGGACAGCTTCAAGTTGAGCAAGTGATTAATTGCACCACACAGATCGCACCGCATATATTCTTTTTTGTTTGAAAGAGTATGGACTCTACCCCCCCCTGGGATTATCCGCCCCCCTCTTCGCATTGCAATTTACATACGATTCTGCCCCAGCGCCCATCCTAAATATGAACTCGTCTCATCCCAGCGCAAACGGTATGCCCCCCGCCGGCATCCTATACAAAAAATACTACGCGCGCATATTCTTTTTATCAAATAATCGCAAGTTTCCAAGAATCCCTCTTAAAAAGGGACGAGGTGCACACGCGCGCGTCGTCGCGCGCGCATGCCGGAATTCCTTGCCAAAACGGTTACGGGAAGGATATCAAAATCGAGTGCCCATCAAACATATAAAACACATTGGTTCGCAACGCTGATTTTCAACAAAAAAATGCGCGCCCTTGCGAATTGACCAAAAAAACTATAGGTGGTTGACCATGTTCAGAAAATGCTACCAAACGGGCATCGCGCGCGCATGCTGAAATCGTTCGAACGCCCTTGCGCGCGTGCCGTCGCGAAAATATTTTGCAAAAACCGAGATGGAGTGCACACGCGCGCGTCGTCTCGCGCGCATGCCGAAATCCGTCTAAAACTTTCTGGGTTTCGTAGCGGTTTCACCATCGAGTGCCAAAAAAACATCTAAATAACACATGGTTTCGCAACATCTGTTTTCAGAAAAGTTTGCGCTCTCATGCGAAGTCTTAAGAAAGCCATCGGTTTGTTTTCAATATTGCCATGGAATTCTGCCAATCGGGCGTCTGGCGCCGCATGCCGACATCGTTCGCACGCCTTTGCGCGCGTGCTGGGGGGGCACGATCCGTGTCAAATAAAACCATCTGGGCCACTCGCGCGTCGGCCGCGGGCGCATGTCGAACTCGTTCGCGCCCGCCCAAGCTGCCGACTCGCACTAAAGTGCCAGCGGGGATGTGCCCAGCGGTCAGCGCCACCGCGGCCGCGCCGGTCGCGCCAAACCAGTTGGCCGCTGCGCGCGCGTGCTTGGGTTAGCGCGGCCGCAGAGATGGACCAGCCAACGTCAAGCATTCATCGCAATCGCCACCGCGTGGGTTTTGCAAACCAGGTTGCGGGTGGGTGGTGGGTTGCTTGCAAAAGCATGGGATGTGTAATCTCGTTTGTTAAAAATTATATAGCACCCCATAGATTCTCCTTTCTGAAAAAATAGGTTCTACCACACACACACACACACACATCGTGGTTAAAGACTTACCTTTTTCGTTTTGCAATGTACATATGATCCTGCCCCATCGTCCATCCGAGCTGTGAATTCATGTGATCCCAGCCAAACCGATATCGCCCCCCCGCCATCCTCTGTAAAAAATATTATGCGCGCGCTCTCGTTTATCAAAAAGCATAAGTGTTCAAGAATCCCTTGCAAAGAGTGGGACGCAGTGCACACGCGTGCGCCGTCGAGCGCGCATGCCGAAATCCTTCAAACAACTTCCAGTTTCGGAAGGATGGTTTAAATCGAGTGTTCGAAAAAAAAAAAACATGGTTTCGCAACCACAGGAAGCAACGTGGCCAAAACTGCGGCGGACCCCTACCAGCTCCTTGGGGACACAGGTAGGAACCCTATGGATGCAACCACTCTTGGGACGGTCGCGCGGCGGGCGGCGGGCGGGCCGCAATTCGCGACATGTTCGTTGCGTGCCCCTCGCCGTTGCATCATCGGCTCTAGTGCGGACGGACACGGAATTAACACATTTTGCGCGCTGACAGAAATTCCTCCTCATCTTCCTCCTCCTCCTCCTCTCCCTCCCCCTCCTCCGCCTCCTCCTCCTCCACCTCCTCTCCCTCCCCCTCCTCCGCTTCCTCCTCCTCCTCCGCCTCCTGCCCCTCCCCCTCCTTCGCCTCCTCTTCCTCCTCCTCCTCCTCCTCCTCCTCCTCCTCCTCCTCCTCCTCCTCCTCCTCCTCCCCCTCCTCCCAATCACTGCTTGGGGAAGAACTTCCGTCGTGATTTTTGTCGTTGCGCGAGGGGGTCTGGATCACCGTACCGGGCGCGGCTCGGCGCGCCCTTTGGCGCGCCGCGGGCTTGCGGCAGCGCCGTGCCAGCATCGCAGGCTTGCCGGGCACCACGGGGCCGGGCGCAGGCGACCCTTGGGGCAGCCCGGCAGCCCTCAGTTGCAGGGTATCTCCGAAGAGCTTAGGCGACCCGTCTCCTCCTCCTCCTCCTCCTCCTCCTCCTCCTCCACCTGCTCCTCCTCCTCCTCCTCCTCCTCCTCCTCCTCCTCCTCCCACCTGCTCCCTCCTCCTCCTCCTCCTCCTCCTCCTCCTCCCTCCTCCTCCTCCTCCTCCCTCCTCCTCCTCCTCCTCCTCCTCCTCCTCCTCCCTCCTCCTCCTCCTCCTCCTCCTCCTCCTCCTCCTCCTCCTCCTCCTCCTCCTCCTCCTCCTCCTCCTCCTCCTCCTCCTCCTCCTCCTCCTCCTCTCCTCCTCCTCCTCCTCCTCCTCCTCCTCCTCCTCCTCCTCCTCCTCCTCCTCCTCCCTCCTCCTCCTCCTCCTCCTCCTCCTCCTCCTCCTCCTCCTCCTCCTCCTCCTCCTCCTCTCCCCCTCCACCTCCACCTCCCCCTCCTCCTCTCCTCCTCCTCCTCCTCCTCCTCCTCCTCCTCCTCCTCCTCCTCCTCCTCCTCCTCCTCCTCCTCCTCCTCCTCCTCCTCCTCCTCTCCTCCTCCTCCTCCTCCTCCTCCTCCTCCCTCCTCCTCCTCCTCCTCCTCCTCCTCCTCCTCCTCCTCCTCCTCCTCCTCCTCCTCCTCGTCCCCCTTCTCCTCGGGTCGCCTACGGCCCTGGGGGAAAACGTGCACCCTCAGCAGGCCCCCCCAGGAGGATCTGGGGCGGTCCCAGATCCCCGACGAGCTGGTTTTGTCCATCCAGGCGCTTTTTCCTAGACTTCGGCCCGTGGGATCCCCTGCTGGCGCCCTAGGACCTTCAAAAGTCGATCGGGGACGAAGAGTTGTCCCCAGGGAGTGGGTCGAGACCTCTGGGGACCGCGATGTTCCTTGTTGTTGTTTGTTTGACCGAACACACACACACACACACACACACACACACACACACACACACCAAACACACACACACACACACACACACACACATATACACACACACACCAAAAACACACACGCATCGTCGGATGCCTGGGGTCTCAACCCTGAGATCTTGGCGCCACATTTTTTTCACACTGGGCGCTGTCGCCCTGTTTCGGGCCCGAGCCCACAGGGGTCGATGCGGCTCGAGAATTGCCGCAGGCTCGTTGGGTCCAGGGCTCCAGTCGAGGTTCACTGCAATGTTGTAAGTTGTTCGAGAGGTCGGATCTCAGTGAACACCCGGCGCTGCTCCCTGCAGCGCTCCAGGAGCGCCTTGCGCCTGGGGTCTGGGGTGTTGAGACCGCCCCGTGCTGCTCCGGAGGGTCTTGGGGCCAGCCGGGGCTGCCCTCGAAGAAGGAAGGCATGAGCATACAGTCGGGGCCCTGAAGAAGGAACCCTTTTGGTTGGGGAGGGGCTCCGCGTTCCTTAAGTGTTTCACAGCTTGCCTCAGGTTTTTCGTATGTTTTCGATAGGAAATCGAAGTTCAACGTGTGGAGAAAAGGGGCCTCGTTCCTTATTTGGGGTTCCTTAGGTCGACGCCCCGACTATAAGTTGTCGGAGGTCTGCACGGATTTCTTGGATCGGCGCTGGATTTCGTTTGGGAGGGGCTCGGTGTTCCTTGATTGTTTAACAGTTTGCCTCAGGTCTTCCTGAGGTTTTCCATGGGACATCGATGTTTAACGTATGAGAAAAAGGGGTCTCGTTCCTTATTTAGGGTTCCTTATATAGGGTTCCTTAGGTTTTCTATGAGAAATCGAAGTTCAATGTGTGGAGAAAAGGGGCATCGTTCCTTATTTAGGGTTCCCTAGGTCGACGCCCCGACTGTAAGCATAAGTTGTCGGAGGTCTGCACGGATTTCTCGGATCGGCGTTGGACCCCCTTCCCTGGCGCGCTCCGCGCGCCAGGGGAGGTTTTCCCTGGGGCATCGTTGCTTAACGTATGAGAAAAAGGGGCCTCGTTCCTTATTTGGGGTTCCTTAGGTCGACGCCCCGACTGTAAGCACAAGTTGTCGGAGGTCTGCACGGATTGAAATCGAAGTTCAATGTGTGGAGAAAAAGGGGCATCGTTCCTTATTTGGGTTCCTTAGGTCGACGCCCTGACTGTAAGCATGAGTTGTCGGAGGTCTGCACGGATGTCTCGGATCGGCGGAGGTTTTCCCTGGGACATCGATGTTTAACGTATGAGAAGAAGGGGCCTCGTTCCTTATTTAGTTCCTTAGGTCGACGCCCCGACTGTAAGCATGAGTTGTCGGAGGTCTGCACGGATTTCTCGGATCGGCGCTGGACCCCCTCTCCCTGGCGCGCTCCGCGCGTCAGGGGAGGTTTGCCTGGGACATCGATGCTTAACGTATGAGAAAGAGGGGCCTCGTTCCTTATTTGGGGTTCCTTATATAGGGTTCCTTAGGTTTTCCATGGGAAATCGAAGATCAATGTGTGGAGAAAAGGGGCCTCGTTCCTTATTTAGGGTTCCCTAGGTCGACGCCCCGACTGTAAGCATAAGTTGTCGGAGGTCTGCACGGATTTCTCGTTAGGGAGGGGCTCCGTGTTCCTTCATTGTTTTACAGTTTGCCTGAGGTTTTCCTTAGGTCTTCGATGGGAAATCAAAGTTTGACTTATGGAAAAATGGGGCCCCGGTCCTTATTTAGGGTTCGCTGGGTCGACGCCCCGACTGTAAGCATAAGTTGTCGGAGGTCTGCACGGATTTCTTGGAAATCGAAGTTTAATGTTTTCGATCGGAAATCGAAGTTTAATGTATGGAAAAAAAGGGGCCTCGTTCCTTATTTAGGGTTCCTTAGGTCAACGCCCCCCGACTGTAAGCATGAGTTGTCGGAGGTCTGCACGGATGTCTTGGATCGGCGCTGGATCGGTGCACGGATTTCTTGGATGTTTAACGTATGAGAAAAAGGGGCCTCGTTCCTTATTTGGGGTTCCTTAGGTCGACGCCCCGACTGTAAGCATAAGCTGTCGGAGGTCTGCACGGATGTCTCGGATCGGCGCTGGCACCCCCTCTCCCTGGCGCGCTCCGCGCGCCGGGGCCCGCGCGGGAGGCGCCGCCGAAGGGGTCCAGCGCCCGGCCGAGAAGTCCGCGCGGACCTCCGAAGGGTACAGTCGGGGCGCTGAAGAAGGAATCCTTTTCGTTGGGGAGGGGCTCGGTGTTCTTTAAGTGTTTCGCAGCTTCCCTCGGGTTTTCCTGAGGTTTTCCATGGAAGATCGAGGTTGAACTTATGGACAAACGGGGTCCAGCGCCTGGCCGAGAAGTCCGCGCGGACCTCCGAAGGGTATGCTTCGGCCGTGGGCTCTGCAGTCGGGGCGTTGAACTAAGGAACCCTAAATAAGGAACGAGGCCCCTTTCTTCCATAAGTTAAACTTCGATTTCCTATCGAAAACATAAGGAAAACCTGAGGCAAGCTGTGAAACACTTGGCTCTACAATCGGTGTCCTGAAGAAGGAACCCTTTTCGTTGGGGAGGGGCTCCGTGTTCCTTGATTGTTTTACAGCTTGCCTCAGGATTTCCTTAGGTTTTCGATCGGAAATCGAAGTTTAACTCATGGTAAAAAGGGGCCGGCCAGGCGGCGCCGCCAGAGGGGTCCAGCGCCTGGCCGAGAAGTCCGCGCGGACCTCCGAAGTGTATGTTTCGGCCGTTGGCTCTACAATCGGGGTCCTGAAGAAGGAACCTTTTTCGTTGGGGAGGGGCTCCGTGTTCCTTCGTTGTTTTACAGCGCTCCTTGGGTTTTCCCCCGGTGTTCCATGGAAGATCGGAGTTCAATTTACGGGGAAAAGGGGCCTCGTTCCTTATGTATCGTTCCTTAGGTCAATGCCCCGACTGTACACTGTACACCCTCGGGGGGCCGTCTGCGCGCAGCCCCGAGCGCCGCCGAGGTGCTCGAGCACAAGGCGGACGCGTTCGGGAGCGTGCACTTCGAAGCCGCCCTCGCCGGGGCCGCGGGCGACTTCGGGCAGAGGCTGCGGTATTCCCTGGCCCGCTGGCGCGCGGACGGGCGGACGGGCGTGTGGGCAAAGGTGCCCAACAGCGCCGCGGAGCTGATTCCAGCGCTGCTGGCCGAGGGGTTCGATTGGCACCACGCGCAGCAGGGCTACGCGCTGCTGACGCTGTGGCTGCCAGAGGGCCAGAGCCAGCTCCCGCGCTACGGTGGGCACCAGGTCGGGGTCGGGGGCCTGGTGCTGAGCCCCGACAGGCGGGTGCTGCTCATGAAGGAGAAGGTGCCCCACTTTGGCCGGAAGGAGAGCCAGTGGAAGTTGCCTGGCGGCCTCGCCGACCCTGGAGAAGACCTCGGCGAGGCGGCTGCCCGCGAGGTGTTGGAGGAGACTGGCGTCGTGGCGAGCCCCGAGGGCGTCTTGAGTATACATCATCGGCACGGCTTCAAGTTCGGCGTCAGCGACCTCTACTTCGCGGTCCAGATGATGGCCCACTCTGAGACGATCGAGTTGGACGCGAACAGCGCCGAAGTCATGGACGTCACATGGATGCCACTAAGCGAGGTGGCATCGAGCCCTGCGGTCATGGAGTTCAACAAGAACATTATCGCGTTGGTTGACAGGCCCATGCTGGTGCCTCACTGGGGCAAGCATGGCTCTGTCAGGGCCGAGCACTTTTTCTACAAGCCCGGCACACCGCCGTGAGGGAGCCGCATCCTGCGCCCTGAGCGATGGCGCCGTTGGTCCCGACCGCGCCCCGCGTCGCCGCTCGAGGCACCGCGCAGAGGTCATTTGAAAAATCGGCCCTGCCGATATGCGTCTCTGGCGATACATCTGTTGTTTTGTCCCTGCAGGAACATGGCCTCCCAAAATGAGTTCCGAGCAGATGGGGTCAGAGGATCGCGCAGCATCGCCGATGCATCTGCGATGCGGCTCGATTTGAAGCCCGATGTTCTCCACGCCGACTGCGCCGATGCATCGCCGACATCGCCGATGCATCGGCGACGCATCGGCGATTATTTGGCGATGCGGCGCGATCCTCCGCCCAAAGCTACTTGTTTGAGAAGCCTCCAGTTTTGCGGGGCGACGATAGATTTCGAATGGTGACGAAGTGCGTCTGACATCCGGACTAGCGCGCAGAGTCGAGGATGTTCCAAGGGTAGGTTGTTTGACGGTGCAGGTCGTCTTGTCTGCCAATTCTGACAAGACCTGGTTTTATCAGGGTATTGTGAGTGGGAATTCGGTATTTCGTACTTTGGGTACACATGTGTACTGTGCAATTGTTTGGCCCAGTTTAGGGTATCACGGGTCTCCTTGGGCCCCTCTTAGTGCCCTCTCGGGGGGCTTATTGTGCCCTTTTGTGGGCTCTTGTGGGCGCGTTGGGTGCTTTCCTCGGGCCAGGCCCTCTAGTTAGGTGATCATGAAGTCCTTCGGGGCCTCTCTTGGGACCGTCTTGGGCCATCTTGTGACAACACTACGGCCTCAAGGGCACCCATTCGCCCGATAAAGCGAGAAGGCAGCATTAGTCGGAAAGCGAAGTGTGTTTCAAAGGTTACGCCCCTTGGGGAGGATCTGGGGCAACCTTGAAGCAATCTAGAAGCAATGCGTCAGCCTCTGGGGATCGACCTGGAGGCCAACTTGGGCCACATTGGAGGCAATACTGGGCCATCTTGGGCAATCGGGGACCAGCACATGGCCACCTTGAGACCTCTTGGGGCCCTCGTGGGCCCGCGTTCGAGTTTGACTCTCCTCTTCTAGGGGCGTGCCACCGATCGATCCGCAGGCCCCTCGCTTCCTCTGCCCAGGCGGCATCGAAGGGCCAGAGGCGCTCAGCAGCCCTTGTCCCCGATCCTCAGTCCTGCGTGTCCTCCACCCGCCCCTGCTGCCTGGGGTGGACAGAACCACCTTGAGCAGAACACCCTCCCGCGAAAACGCCTTGGGGGACCAGACCCCGCGGGCGCCGGCCCGCACAAGTGGCGGCTGCGACGCCCTCTCGAGGAAGGGACCCCACGGGCGGCTTCGCTGATCGACTCGGCAGGGTGGGGGTCTCTTCGGTCAGGAGCGCTTGCCTGGCGCGTCACGCCGCCATTGTGGCTTCTCCAGCAGTTCAGTTGCTCAGCAGCTCAGCAGCCCGTGGGCTCAGCATGGCAGCATCTTGCTGAAGCGCGCTGTTCGCAGCCCCAGCCCGCCCTCGGACGCTCAGGCCGTGTCTGCATCGCGTTGGCGCCGTACTTTTGCAGCAAGGCCTGACGCTCACCTTACGGTTTCGTGACGGACACCTGGGTGCTCCCACTCTCGCCGCTGCGGTCTCGCGTGCCGCCCCTCCCCCTGACGTACTCTGGTTCGACTTAGTCCACGCTCTCAGCGTCTGCAGCCTTGGCTTCGGTCCCTGGATGTGGTCGCGATGCCGCTCCGCGCCCACTGGCAGGTCGCCCAAGCACAGGCGGCCACTCCTGCTGAAACTCTTTCCGCGGTGGGTGCCCTCCTCCCCCCGCCTACTTTCTGCGGCCGCCCTCATCCTCCTTCCTTCTCTTGCTGTCGGTCATTTAATCGCTTCGCTCTCCGCTGGCCCGTACTGTGCCATCGCAGGCGTTTACCTGCGCGTTCGTGGCCTCTTGGGGGCCGTTTGGGGGCCTCTTGGAGCGTCTTTTCGGGCCTCTTGGCGGCATTTCTGGGACCTCCTGGGGCGTCACGGGGGCCTCTTGGGGGCCTCTTGGAGGTCTTTTTGGGGTCTCTTGGGGCCTCTCGGGGGCCTCTTGGAGGCTTCTGGGGGGCCTCTTGTGTTAGCTAACAGCAGTAAGTCCTGTGCACTCCCTGCCCGAAGCCTCTCTGTGCTGTGGCTTTGGCTCAAGGGCGGGATACAAGCTTTTCCATTCGTTTCACGTGGCCCCCAGGCGCCACTACATTTCAGCACGGCTAACAACGCTGTGACGACAGATACGTGAAATAGGCATCGTGCTGGGTGGTAGGTTTCTCGTGGGAACTTCCTGGGAATCTACTGCTGCGCCGATTCCGCCAACATGGCAGCGGAGCCATCGTGGAGGCCTACACTGAAGTCGACCGCTGGGTGTGAGACAACCGAGCAGGGAGTGCTGACGTGGAGTGGAGACCCACTGACGTTTGAGAGCTATGAGAATGCTGTTATACGGTACCGCGCGGGACTGAAGGAAAACGAGAAGAACCTCGCCGTAGCTCGCCTGTGGACTGCGCTACGAGGTGCGGCCAAGGAGGCAGTGAAGGACATGAGGCCGAACGACTTCGTGTCAGGAGGTGTGGAAGCGTTGCTCAAACATCTTCGAGAAGGTCCGCTCGGCAAGATGCCGATCCCGGACGCGTACCAGAAGATCCGCAACTACGACCAGGTGATTCGCAAGCCCGGCGAGGTGATTGGCGAGTTTGTCATCAGAGAAGACAACCTGTTCAGGGACATGCGTTCGGCCTTGAAGCGACTTCGTTCAGACCGATTGCGACGCGAATCGGCTCAGGCGACGACGAGAACCTGGCGACCAGCTACCTCAACGGTCAAGGAGTCGCCGACCGAGGGGTTCGAAGAAGCCGAGGAGGTCGAGGAAGACGCCGAGGCCGCGGACGCGACCGAGAAGAAGTCTGTGGTGTCGGCCCGATCTGGGGCTTCGACCGCCAAGTCGGAGACCGACGCGAGCTTCTACTTCGAGTGTACTGGCTTTTGCACAACGCGCGCCTGAGCAGGGAAGAGCGCCAGATGATTCTGGCAGGCACTCAGAACGACACCCGATACGAGTCCATCGTCACGCAGCTTCACGCGCCGTGGGATGACCGAGACCTCCGAGACTGTGATAAACCAGCTCAGCAGCAGGGTCGTCGTTTCCGAGGCAGAGTTTTCGCCTTCGAGAGCGCGGAGGAGATGGACGACGTATGTGCGGCAATCCGCGGTGGAGAGTCATCGTGGACAATCGACTGAAGCTACGACGAGAACGAAGACGTCTGGTGGCGTGCTTTCTATGCGGACGATGTGGATCAGACTACATGGGCTACGAGCTCGTGGGATTGATCCAACAACGATGCCGGATGGAGTACCTCGCCAGACCAGCGGGGCCAGGCAACAGCAGCGACCTGGACACCGGATTCAATTACCCATGCGACTGACGACTCGTACCTGGACGAGCAGGTGAATGCAGCCGAGATCCTCGCCGCCGAAGCTAATCGGACGCTGGCCGAGGCCAGGGGCGCCGTGGCAGAGGCGCGCAACAACAGGGGGTTCTTTCCGCAGAAGGGCTCCGGCAAGGATGGCAAGAAGGGCGGCTACCAGGTGAAGGGATCATCGGCAGGACCTCAAGGACGTTGATGCCTGATCTGTGGTCGGCCGGACCACTACTGGAGGCAGTGTCCAGACCGCTGCTCCAACAAGGGCAAGAGCTTCGCGAAGGGCGGCTTCGGGTCCAGGGGCAAGGGCAAGAAGGGCAAGGTGCACTACATCGGAGGCATCTTTTGCATGGACATGATCCTTTCCCTCTCGTGCCCATCGTCTACGGAGATTGTCCCCGACTGCGGAGCTACGACGACAGCTGGAGGCGGCGACGCTGTCGAGAAGTTGGTTTCGGCCGTCACCGAGAAGTTCCCGGACGCGAAGATCGAGGTGGACGCAGCCGACAGGCCCTGGTTCAAATTCGCGAACGGCCAGCGGGGCCAGGCGCTGTCCAAGGTGTGGCTCTTTGCGCCCGTCGGCTGGCTGGGCATCTACTTGCTGGACGCCGATGAGGTGCCGGTGCTCGCGGGGGTAGACCGGCTGGATCAGCATGACGTCTCCTTCAGCAGAAACGAGTTGGAGATCTACCTCAGCGACGACAAGACCACGAAGGTCCAGCTCCGGGAGGGCAAGGGCGGCCACCGCTTGCTGGACGTCCTGAGTTCGGCCGGCAGCTAGGGACAGCGCACCGGAGTTCCGCGCCCCCCGGGACTTACAGGTGACCAGAGAAAAGAGGGAGTACAGTATCAGGGCATCTGCGTGGGTGGTCTGATGATATTCGTGCGATTACAGCTACAGAGTGTGATCCGACTGGTTGCGGACCTGGCCGCAGAGCGTGAGCTCGAGGGGTCGGATCGGGAAATTGGGGAGGTTGCAGGAGCGAGAAGCCCGCACTGTTGTCCGAGTTCTCGGCGTGCGTGGGCCTCGCGTGAAACACGCCCCATTTGCCGAGAGCTGTCCGGGGATCGCTTCGATTACAGCGGTGCACTATCCGGGCGGCTTAAACATCAACGGTTGGAAATGGGTTGCACTCTACCATACCACGAGATTAATATGGTAAACCATGTGACGGGATACAGTCCAGAGCCAGATGAATCTGAACTTGGCAGATATGTTCGGGAAGACTGGTTTTCGAGTGTATTCAGAACTTTCGAACGTCCTGATGATGCTCGACGTTTTGGAATGTGCTGGCGTAGGACGACGTGTTTGCACAGTTCGGTGATTATCGAAGACGGTCCTGTGACGATTGCAACCCCTGGGAGTTGGCTTTATCGCCCATTTCCAGATGGGGTCAGTGCGATTCGTACCGAAATCTGGTTTCGTCCAACACCGACTGCACCATTGGCATTTCGGCTCCAAAGTATTCGAGATCAGCTCAGCGCTTTTCAATCTTCCATCCTTCGTCCTGATGGGCGACAAGAGGCTCTACCCCGACCTACCATGCGCGGCGGCAGAGCAGACGGACTGGTCTCTGAGCAAGGGGGCCGAGCCGAAGGATCCTCGCATGACCAGCTGGCCATGCCAGGGGACCCATACCGTGTCGAGCTACACCAGCAACCGCTTCGGAGTGTGGCTGACGTGCGAGAGGTGCGCTTTCAGGCTGGACTACGCTCCGAAGATGGGGTGCAGCGGCAAGTACCGCAA